TGTTTTGTTTGTATTTATTTATAACCCATTTTGATACTCAACGATATATTTATACGGCTAGACACCAATTTAGAAACCTTGCTGTTCATTCGTTTTGATTTTGATCAATATTACCTCAGTTTTTATTTTTAAGCTTTGGTGATGCTTTATCAGAATAAAATTTATAAACTCAAGTAACAAAAAAACTAAACCATAAAATACAAAACGGAATCTAACAAGCCTATATTCAGCATGAAAAAATAGATTTAAGAAAAGAAAAACGGTGCTTGTATGGTTTACATGACCCATTTTTTTTCTCGAAATTGACCACTTTGGGGTTTTAAGGTGCGCTGAATTCGAATTTCGGCATCCCAGGTTGGGAAAATGCACACCAACAGAGTTATACAATTTTTGAAAAACGTGTTTTTAAGCGCTTTTGATGTTCTAAATGAGCCTTATTGCTCGCAGGGATACATGTCACGAACTTCATTCCAGAAGTTGAACGCTGAAGCATGACCAAATTCTTGCTTCCATAGGAACTCATTGATGACGTTGGCGTGGCGATCATTAGATCGGATGCTGACTTTTGGTTATTTTCAGGGCGTTATAAAGATCTTAAACGTGTTTGAACAGGTTAAACAAGAGTGCTTTTTGTTAGATGACCCCTGATTTTTTGACCTCGACAGATTTGTATTCTACCCTCAAAATTACGTCTAGAAAAGTGTTTTTAGATGTTTTGGAAAAAAAAATTTTTTAAGAAAAAAAGTCAGGTATTACCGTAGGTTTTTTTCAACAAAATTTTAAAAAAAAATCTTTTAAGAACACTTTTCTAGACGTAGTTTTAGCCGGGGAGTTCGAATCCGTCGAAAAAATCGGGGGTCACCTAACAAAAAGTAATTTTTTTTTCAACAATTGTACAATTGTTAGGGGGCATCCCGATACCCCATACCCACTGACTCAAGTCAGTACTCTGATTGGATGAACTTATTCTTATAAAAATTTATTCAATTGCAAAATAATATGGAGTGAACTAAAGCACCGATGAAAAAAATGAAAGTTAATGCAAAGAAAACACAATTAGGCCACCAGAATAATTGATAAAGTTGATAAAATTGATAAAGTCAAAAGTCGAACCGCGTACACAGAAAGCGAAACCCAGAAAAGAAAACAGCCACAATTTTGAAACTAGAAGCGCAAAAGAGCGGAAGAACATAGAATTAGAAAAGGTTAAATCAAACTCAGATGCCTTCTCGACAGGCGGCACAGAGAAATTTTCCATCACGTGCTCGAGCTTTTGCTTCACCAGCTCGATAATGCAACGTGCTATCAAAACATTTTCTGCAATGAAAGTAATTTATTGAGGCTAACTTCTGAAAAAAAAACTTACGTATGCCACCATTTTAGACATCCGTCTTGGCATTTCAAACACGCCTTGCCAGACATCGTTTTGTGGCATTTGGGACAATCATTATCTTTGTTGATGTCTTTATCTATAAAATCAAAAGCTCGTTTTAAATCGAAAAGTTACTACTTTTAAAATTTGAAAATAATGAAACAATTCTATAAAATCTATTATTGGAAAAAAACAATAGAAATTTGATGTACCTGGGTTTTCATCAATCAATGCATTTTCGTGGCCACGGGTTTGAGATGTTGACATATGAATGAAGTCGATGAGAGCGCCGTCTTCATCACTGTTATCGTCTTTATGACGGATCCTCTGAAAAAATGGAAAATTAAATGTAATATTGATTACATAAAAAAGTTTAAGTAGTACTAAAGTTACCTTATTGGACGGACCTGGTTGATCGGAGTCGGAGGCAGACTCAGCTTCCGTGATCGCCTTCAAGCTCCTTGGAGACAGATCCCTTGAGCGACGTCGCTTTTGGCAAGTAACGGCAGCAGCGGGCGATTTGGTGGGCGTGTCCTGTACCATAGAAGGAGGATGAATCACTAAAATAATAGATTAAATAGAGTGACTAGATTATATTAGACTAGAAAATACAAAATAAGTAGAAAATATAATCTTAAAATAAACATAAAACCATAGCCGAGAAGCGATAAAGATGTAGTTGAGAGAGGTGAAGACATGGAAGAGATCTTTTCATTTAACTCATCGTCTAAAAATTCAAAGATTAGTGCTTTTGCTACATTATTTATTTATAAAAAACGATATCTTGTGAATTCTCTATTTTTTTAAAATATAAATTACTCTTTTTATGATTACATTTTTATGATCACTTCCATTACTAAATTGCAATAAAAACCTTACCCATCTGTTTGTTGAGATCATGCAGCTGCTTCGGTGTAAGGGTGCGTAGTGGAATCATAGCGGGATCTAAAAATACCATAAAATACACATAAAATATAAAATAAGATTACAAGACTGAGATTGCGACGCCGAAGCCGATTGGGTTTGTGACGATGTTGTAATGGGTGATGTTGATGTGACAATTGAGGTGGATGTCGAGGTTGAAACGGCCGCCTTCGTCGTCGGTTGCTTAAGCTTTCCTTGGGCCTTGAGCTCGAATTCGTCATCGATCCATCTCCAGACATCCTCCGGTCGACTGGAATGGTGACGGCACGCGAGTCGATTTCACGACTCACGTCCTTCAAAGCCATTCCACCGGCCAACTTCTTCTTGAGCAACTCACCGAATCCTTGCGCTAAATTAGATAAGATTTAAATAAGATAAATACTATACTCACCAAATACCTCAGCGCTAGTTTTTTGGTACATTCCTCGTCCCACGTTCTTTGCGCCTTTGGCCACATTAATCTGCCCGTGTTCGGCCTGGCCCATCTTCTCATTCCATGCGTAGACTTTCAGCGCGTAGACTCCCTGTTGTACTAAAGCAGAAAATATATAGATTGAATAAATAGTCGTCAATTCGGTGGGGGATGTTTGAGCGTTACCCCCCTTCCGTCTTACCAACCTTCGTCGTCACACCATAGCTCGATTTTCTTGGTTTCGCCGGAATTGAGCAGGATCGTCCGGTATTCGTCGTGATCATACGTTTGAAATGATGTGGCAAACGACCAGCCACCAGCGACGTTCTTCTCGACCAGACGCCAACGATTCACAGTCCCCCAAACGTCTCCAGCGAACGGCTTCTCCGCGGACTCTTTAGGAAGAGGTGGGTACACCTAAAGCTCAAGATTAAGGAAAGTTAAAGGAAAACAACCCACCAAACACAACATCTCCTTTTTTCCCTGATTGCCCAGCAGAATCGTGAACGATTCGGTCGGGTTTGCGGGAAATGTGATTTTCTAAACAATTGTAAGATAAAAAAGATCTAACATAATACTTACTGGGTCCTTGGTGCCTTTTCCGCCTTTGACCTTAGAAAAGTGTTTTTTATCATACTTCTGCGTCTTCACTAATCTCTAGGTCGAAAAGTTGAGGATGGTACCATCCTCAACGACCCTACTTTTCTCCAGGGGGTGGAATCCAGGGGGGTGGAATCTAGGGGGTGGAATCTGTATCATCGTGTACAGACCGACGGGGTTCCGTCGGCCTTTTGTTGCCGATGGCAAGCTGAACCACATAAATAGAAAGCCGTAGAGCTTGAAAAAACATACTTTTCTTTGATTCGTATGAACGTATGATCACGTTTGGGGGATTGTGAATCGTTGGAGTCTGGTCGAGAAGAACGTCGCTGCTGGCTGGTCGTTTGCCACAGCTGTTTCGAGATAACTTGAAGGCGATCATGGAAGCTGAGTCTGCCTCCGACTCCAATCAACCAGGCCCGTCCAATAAGGTAAAACTTTACTACTACTTAAAGTTTTTTATATAATTACTGTTAGATTTAATTTTTCAATTTTTTAGAGAATTCGTCAAAATGAACACAATAGTAATGAGGACCACACGCTCATCGACTTCATTGATACATCAACGTCTCAACCCCATGCTCACGAAATTGGATTGAGTGAAGAAAACCAAGGTACGTCAAATTACTATTATATTTTTCCCATAATAGATTTTATAGAATTGTTCCATTATTTTCAAATTTTAAGTATTAAAGTTTCGACTTAATAAGTTCTTTTAATTTTATAGATAATCAAAAAAAGAAAAATGATGAGAATGATTGTCCCAAATGCTACAAAACGATGTCTGGCAAGGGGTGTTTGCAATGCAAAGACGGATATTTGAAATGGTGGCATACGTAAGTTTTTTTTCAGAAGTTAACTTCAATAAGTTATTCTGATTTCAGACGTTGTTTCGACATCACGTTGCACCATCTAGCTGGTGCAGCAAAAGCTCGAGGACGCGATGGAAAAATGCTCTGTGCCGACTGTCGACAAAACATGTGACTTTAATTTAACCTTGTCTACTTCTAGGTTTTTCTACTTTTTTCGTTTCTAGTTCCAAAATTGTAGATGTTTTATTCTTTGCATTTTCATTTTCGAAGAAACTTCTACGAGGCGACCAAACTGACTAATAAACTGGTTAGACTTTTGACCGTTGATCCTTCTGATCATCGGTTTTCGTGGCGTTCCTCAGAATTAGCCCAAAAGTCGTACCAGTTTATTGGTCATTTTGGTCATCTCGTAGTGGTTTCTTTGCATTTAAATTTTTATTTCCATCACTCATTTTTTTTCTCAAAATTAACTAGTTGTTTATCTGAGTTCATTGTTTTGGATTTGTAAACAAATTGAATCTATTCCACTTTCGTTTTTTATATTATATTTATTGAACAAATCTTTATAAATGCAATTTTTTTTATTGATGCTTTAATTCACCCCATATTATTTTGCAATTGAATACATTTTACGGAAGAAGCGTCTAGAAAAAACTAAAAATTTTTCTGTCTTCCATTATGTCTAAATCAAAAAGTTTTGTAGTAGGTTTGTCTAGTATAGCTGATCTCTGCACTATATTTGGATTTAGCATAGAATCTTAACAAAACCTTTACTCAATATCCTATAGAGTACTCTCTCTAGGTCCAATTTTTATGCAGCATCCGAATATGCACTTAAAAATAGGGGTTTCCTAAGACTTTTCATCATATCCTAACGATATAAATTCCTACTGGCATGAATTTAGTCCAAGTTTGACCCAGATTTTCTTCATGTTTTTATCTTAAAGTTACTAAGGATGTTGTCGATTTTTTATTACGAAATTTCATAAGGAATATTTTAAGACCAACCACAAGTTGATTGGTCAACTGGAAGTGGGAGATATGAAGGAAGAAAAGGCAGCGATACAGGTGAAAGGAGTACCATTCTTGAGGATGGTCCCATTCTCAACGAACTTAATTTACTCTATGTTTTCATCGGTAAGTCTACAAAATAAATAATACATTTTTATATCCAAATTTTGTGTAGAATCTAATAAAAGTAACTGTGAGCTGATTTGACTTTTAAATCTTAAGTTTTAGAACATTTAATTTGATAGACCCTTTCTTATAGATAGTCCAACTTTGACCGAGATTTTCACTATGTTTTTATATTAAAGTTGACTGCGTAAGTTATAGTTTTCTAGAACAGAATTTCGTTAGCTACATTTTAAAACTAACTACAAGTTGATCGGTCAACTAGAAGTGGAGATAAGTAGAATTCTTGAAGATGGTACCATCCTCTCAAAAAGTATGGGGTAACCTTTAAAAAGGTAGGATGCAACCTTTTAATATCTATTTTGCTCTATGTTTCTTGGGTAAGTCTACAAAGCAAATAATACATTTCTAGACTGAATTTTTGTGTAGATTCTAATAAAAGTAACCGCGAGTTGATTCGACCCTTAAATCTTGAGTTATAGATCTTTAATTGAACTTACCTTTTCAAATAAGTAGGTCAACTTTGACCGAAGATTTCCCTATGTTTTTATATTAAGGTTGACTATGTAAGCTATAGTTTTCTAGAATAGAATTTCGTTAGCTACATTTTAAAACCAACCACAAGTTGATCAGTCAACTGGAAGTGGAGATAAGTAGAATTGTTGACGATGGTACCATCCTCTAAAAAAGTATGGGATAACCGTTAAAAAGGTAGGGTGCAACCTTTTAATATCTATTTTGCTTTATGTTTCCTGGGTAAGTCTACAAAACAAATGATACATTTATATAGTGAAATTTTGTGTAGATTCTAATAGAAATAATCGTTAGTTGATTAGATTATTAGATCTTGAGCTATAGACTTTTTAATTGAACTTACCCTTTTAGATAAGTAGGTCAACTTTGACCAAAAATTTCTTTATGTTTTTATATTAAAGTTGACTGCGTAAATTATGGTTTTCTATAATAGAATTTCATTAGTTACATTTTAAAACCAACCACAAGTTGATCGCTCAACTGAAAGTCGAAATATGGAAGGAAAGGTGAGCGGTACCGGTGAGAGCTGTACGGTGAAAAGTGGTACCGATGACACCGGTACCGGTGAGAACGGCACCTCTTTTCTCTATGTTTTTATCGATAAATCTACAAAACAAATGATACATTTCTAGACTCAAATCTTGTGTAGATTCTAATAAACGCAACCGCTATTTGATTCGACTCTTAGATCTTGGGTTATAGACTATTTCATTGAATCACCCCCATAAAATTTATGAGATTTGATGAAAAGTGGTACTTTTTTTTAGGAAAGCCCTAATTTTAAGTGCAAATTCGGATTCTGCATCAAAAATCGAGCTTAGAAAAGTCTTTTTTTATCATACTTCTCCATCTTTTCTTATCCTTAAGTCGAAAAATCTTGTAGTAAGTCTGTCTCCTATAACTGATCTCTGAACGATATTTGTATTTAGCATAGAATCTCGACAAAACCTTTACTCAATATCCTATAAAGTACTTTTTCTAGGTCTAATTTTCATGCAGAATCCAAATATGTACTTAAAATCTAGGGTTTTCTGAGACTTTTTACCATATCCTGACGATAACCCTAAATTCTGGCTGACGGGAAATTAGTCCAACTTTGACCAAGATTTTCTTTATGTTTTTATCTTAAAGTTACTAAGAAGATTGTGAATTTCTAGTACGAAATTTTATAAGGAACATTTTAAGAACAATCACAAGTTGATCGGTGAACTGGAAGTGAAGATATGGAGGAAAAAAGAAGAGTGATCAGCCTCCGCCGAACAATAGCACAATTGTTAAGGAAAAAGAGTACTTTTTGTTGGGTGAGCCCCGCTTTTTTCGATGGATTCGAACTTCTCGGCTAAAAGTACGTCTAGAAAAGTGTTTTTAAAAGATTTAAAAAGAAAAAATTTTTTGTTGGAAAAAAAGCTAAGGTTGTCTGAAAGACTGAACTTTTTTTTCTCAAAAAAATTTTTTTATTCCGAAACATCTGAAAACACTTTTCTAGACGTAGTTTTGAGGATAGAATGCCAATCTGTCGAAAAAATTGGGGGTCACCTAACAAAAAGCACTCTTTTTACTTAACAATTGCACTATTGTTAGGCAAAGTTTGATAACTCTTCTCTTTTTCTCTGTATCTCAACTTATAGTTCACCGATCAACTTGTAGTTGCTCTTAAAATGTTCCTTATGAAATTTGGTTATAGACATCCACAAATTACTTAGTAAACTTTAATATAAAAACATGGTGAAAATCTCAGTCAAAGTTCGACTATCTATGCGAAAGGATTTATCAACTTAAAAGGTCTAAAACTCAAAGTATGAAAGTCGAATCAGCTCCGGGTTACTTTTATTAAATTCTACACAAAATTTGAGTATAGAAATGTATCATTTATTTTGTAGACTTACCGATGAGAACATAGAGAAAAGTAGGGTCGTTGAGGATGCTACCATCCTCTAAAAAGGTGCAGTACTGCAAACTTTGCAGAAATCTAAGATTTGAAAAGTTTGCAGTACTGAAAAGGCTTCCAGTACTGAAAAGGCTTTCAGGCCTGAAAAGCTTTGATTACTTTGAGAAACTTTGTCTAGAGGGGAGTAGAGAGTCAGAGTTTGACAACTCTTCTCTTTCCTCGTTCCTCGGAACCCATCTTTATCTTCACCCACCACTCCTCTTCGTAATTTGAGTGCTGTTGGTCTTGCACATGCTGCTAATCGTGGTAAGAATTTTTTTATTTCAGATTTCAAAGTCCCCTTTTATATTTTCTATTTACTTAGTATCTTCTAGTTTAATAATCTAATCATGCTATTTTATCTATTTTTTTTTAGTGATTCATCCTTATTCTATGGTACAGGACATGTCCTGCAAATCGCCTGTTGCTGTTGTTACTCCTCAAAAGCGACTTCGCTCAGGTGATCTATGTCAAAATAGTTTGAAGGCGATTACGGAAGCTGAATCCGGTTCTGACTCCGATGAAGCAGGCCCTTCTAATAAGGTAAAACTTTACTACTATTTAAATTTTTTATATGTATTCACTATTACATTTAATTTTCCGTTTTTTCAGAAGATGCGTCATAAGGACGATAATAGTGAGTCAGAGTTTGACAACTCTTCTCTTCTGCCCCATATCTCCACTTCCAAATGACAGATCAACTTGCGGTTAGACTTAAAATGTTCCTTATAAAATTTGGTTATAGAAAACCACAACTTTCTTAGTATACTTTAATATAAGAAAATAGAGAAATTTGCAATCAAAGTTGAGGAATCTACCTAAAAAGGTTGATTCATTAAGTGATCTATAACTTTAAGAACAGAAATTTAATCATGTTAAGATTAATGTTATCAGGATTTACATTAAATTTACCTAACAAAAGTAAAATTTGTGCTATGGATTTAGCAATAAAAACTAAACGAAAATCACTGTCAAAGAGGACGTTTTGAATGGAGAGTTTACTATTATATCGTATTCGAGTTTGGCAGCTTTTCTCTTCTCTTTCATATATCAACTTTTAATGGTCCGATTCACTTGGGGTCGGTTTTAAGATAATCCTCATGAAATTTCGTTCTAGAAAACCTTAATTTACTAAATAGACCTTAGTGTAAAAACATAGGGAGAATTTGTCTGAAATTTGAACTATTTAGCTGGAAGAGCGAATCAAGTTTCACGGTCTATAAGTCGAGGTATAGGAAGCGGATTCATTTGTAGTTGCTCTGAAAAAACCCTCATTAAATTTGCTTGTAGAAAATTAAATGTGCATATTCTTAAAATATTAAGTAAAAGTTTGTTGAGATTCTTTGCTAAATGCTTGCCAGCCGGATTTCTGTTAGCAGGATTAAGTGATTTTTTTTTGATTTCTGGAAGGAAATCCATTTGCACAACACCGGTGAACAAACACTTTTTAAATTTAAAATAGATTTTTTTTGATAAATTGTTAAAATTAAATAAAATGTTAAAATGTTTTCTATATTTGCTTAGATTGATTCAATATAAAGTTTAATAATTTATTTAAGACAAAAAACAAATAAAATGAAGAAGGTTAGGTGTTAAAAGTGAACATCCATCAAGAAGCAATACCAAAAGAAATGACAAAAACATTAAACAAAGGCAAATGAAATAAAGAAGAATTCGTTGTCTCTGCAAAGAGTCAATACCCACCAATAGAGAATACCAAAAAAATGGCGAAAGAGAGAAATAAAGCGAAGAAACAGAAAATCGGCACTAATGGCCCTCGGTGCGCTTCGAGGGTCCAGCGACATCTTGATTGTCTTCGTCGTCATCTTCTCTCTGTAAATTAGATCTCAAATTTAGATTTAGAATTTATTGAGGCTAACTTCTGCAAAAAAACTTACGTATGCCACCATTTTAGACATCCGTCTTGGCATTTCAAACACGCCTTGCCCTGCATGGTTTTGTGGCACTTGGAGCAACCATCATTTTTCTTTTTGTGATTATCTATAAAATTAAAAGACCTTATTAAGTCGAAACTTTAATACAGTCGAACCTCTCTATAACAAAACTCGATATAACGTAAACCTCTATATAACGTAAGGCGTGACCGGTCCCGGCTGACGTTAAGCTATATAAAACGGTAGTCTATATAACGTAAACCTCTATATAACGTAAGCTATAGCCGTCCCGTGAGTTACGTTATAGAGAGGTTCGACTGTACTTTTAAAATTTGAAAATAATGAAACAATTCTATAAAATCTATTATCGGAAAAAAACAATAGAAATTTGACGTACCTTGGTTTTCATCAATGAATGCATTTTCGTGGCCACGGGTTTGAGATGTTGACATATGAATGAAGTCGATGAGAGCGCCGTCTTCACCACTGTTATCGTCTTTATCACGGATCCTCTAAAAAAATGGAAAATGAAATGTAATAGTGATTACATAAAAAAGTTTAAGTAGTAGTAAAGTTTTACCTTATTGGACGGGCCTGGTTGATTGGAGTCGGAGGCAGACTCAGCTTCCATGATCGCCTTCAAGTTATCTCGAAACAGATGTGGCAAACGACCAGCCACCAGCGACGTTCTTCTCGACCAGACTCCAACGATTCACAATCCCCCAAACGTGATCATACGTTCATACGAATCAAAGAAAAGTACCCTAAAGTCGCGAGTATAAGTTCTGTCTGGTTTTCGCATGCAAATTGACGGCTGTCATGCAAATTGACGGCTGTCATGCAAATTGACGGCTGTCATGCAAATTGACGGTGTGTCGAGGGTTCGAACCCCGCTGCAGCATAACTTTTTTGCTTTTTAAGAACAATAGAAGTAAATTTATTGAGGGTTATAGCAATTTTATGCTGTTATTTGTTGCTCCGGGCGTGGCTCGGCGCGTCCGCCCTGCTCCTCTCCGGTGCTCAGTCTTGTGGATCCCTCCCTGGCCTCTTCATCCAGCCAAAGTCCACGTCGACGGTCGAAAGAGATGCTTTCCAGCTTCTTCTTCAACACTATCGTCGTCTGGATGTATCCATGCACATAACAAATAGCAATGGTGATAGGCTGTCACCCTGTAGTATCCCGCGCTCTAAGAACAATAATAAAAGTTTATATAACAATAAAAATGTTGAAAAACCCAACAAAAAGAAATTCAAAGCAATTAAAGCGACATAAAAAAGAATTCTGTGCTTAGCTTCGAAACTGTTTCATCCGTCAAAGCTCTTCGAAATCCATTGATAATGCAAGAAAGGGGACCGCATCGAAACTTACCCATTCCGCAACTGTCTCGTAGCTCGCTCTCTTTTTCGTCCCCGACAGGGTAAATTGGTCGTTTCCGGCTATCGGACATCCATTCTTCCCAGTGAGCCTTTAGATTGTATGGCTTATTGACGCTGATGTCAAGCGGTTGTAGAAATCGAGTTAGCCCTCCTGGTATCACAGCCAGCTTCGAGTGTTGCTGAATTTCAGCCTTGACATTATCGGTTAAGTAACAGCGAGCTGAGTCCAACACGAGCACTGATTCTTCGGATTTGGCCACCGGATTTGCTCTTCGCAACCAAATTTCATCGATCCACTCCTTCATCAAGTCCGAATTCATCCACCCTGTCGGATTAGCTTTGATGATCACACCGGCGATTTCGGCGTTTTCGTTTCGGCGGTGTACGTTCTCCTCATCGTATCTAAAATGAAAAAACGTTAGTAAAATAAAAAATAAAAAAAAAAAACAAAAAAAACCATAAAAAATTAAAAAAAAACAAAAAACAATAAAAATTAAAGAAAGAAGAAAATTTTCCATCCCTTTAAATGCCCTTTAAATGTAAATTCAGAACTTATACTCGGATGAACTTATACTCGCGACTTTAGGGTATGTTTTTTCAAGCTCTACGGCTTTCTATTTATGTGGTTCAGCTTGCCATCGGCAACAAAAGACCGACGGAACCCCGTCGGTCTGTACACGATGATACAGATTCCACCCCCTAGATTCCACCCCCCTGGATTCCACCCCCCTGGAATTATCCTTAGAAATGCATGCGATAGAATTAACACTAATTTAACACTAACTTTAACACTAATTTTCTCTATAAAAAAAGTCGAGATATGGAGAAAAAGAGAAGAGTAGGCAAACTCCCCCTAAAAAAAGTACTTTTTATTAGGTGACCCCCGATTTTTTCGACGGATTCGAATTCCGCAGCTAAAACTACGTCTAGAAAAGTGTTCTTAAAAGATTTTTAAAAAAATATTTTTGTTGAAAAAA